CTGCGCGAGTGGGCGCCGCGCTGCCGCCTTTGGGAGGCAAGAGTCGTCAGCCTCTTCCCGCCCTTTTTTCCCTGACGGAGGCGCGAGAGCGTGGCCGTTCGGGCCGTTATATTTGGCGGGCTTCGCCTCAGCCCTGTCCTTCAGACTCCTTTAGCCTGTGGCTGCTGCTGCTGTGTGAAGCACAGCCTGTGCCTGTGGAGGCTCACCCTGGTATCTCCTGTTCTCCATCCTTTGCTTACTTTTTTGGACAGCTTTAGCTCTGGGCTTTGGTTGCTTGTCTTCAAGAGAGGGCAGAAAGTGAAACAATACAGTCTAAAATCCTATGCAATGCCAAAACTGGCTTCATAAACTGAAATGTCAAGTTTATGGGGTTTTATTCAGCATGTATGTCACTTGGTGGCCATTAGGCTTCGTGCTGCTAGCAATGCGGTTTAGCTTGTGTAACAGCCACGAGCTAGAAGCTGATCTAATGTTGTCACACGTGTAATTGATGTACTTCATGGAAAAATAGAGTAAACTGTTTATTAGTCTAGCGGTGGTACGTACTTGTGCTTCTTTCTTACCAACATCTTTCATAGCTGCATATGGTTATCTGCCAGATAGAAATGTAGAGGTAGTGTCTTGTATTATTTACACACACGAGTACGTGGTAATATTCATATGCCGCTAGAGGCAATATGTGCCAGTAACTGACTTGGGTAGAACAGCAACTAATGCTACGCGACAGTCTGTGTAGTACCCTTGATGTATGCAGTAATACATAGACATTTACTGTAGAAGTAGATTAATCAGAAACACATATGGCAAACTGCCTGTACCTGTTAATATATACTTTTTCTCTTCATTATATTTGGCTGATTATAATGGGGTTTTGACTTGTGAAGTATTTTATATACAAGGAAATTGGGTGAAGGTTTTAGGTCCGTACCATAAAGCACAGAAAAAAAAGTTTAGTTTTTGAAGCATGACACTATTTTTCACAGAATGATTAAATCAGTTTTTTATTCAAAGCCATGCACCTTGCCATTGTATTTTGCAGCAATGTGTAAATATAAATTTTCTATTTGGATTCTATTTTGGGAATTAAAAAATATTCCTTTTAAATTCAGAAGCGAATTTTTTATTTTTACAGCACTTAAAAGAAGTAAAGAATACAATTTTACTTCAAAAATGTAAACATTTGGGCCCTTAATCTGCAAAGGGCAATTGCATGTTACTTGTGTACCCGTGAGTTTTCTAAATTCAGTACAGCTGCTCACACGTTTTAGGCTTGTGTCCGAAGTGGTGCATGTCCTGGCTGTACAGAGAGTTAAGAGAAAGTGCCATGAAATCACATCAAATTTGGATGTGTTCGCAACATGAGTTAGTTTACTTTGTCTGCTTCTCCAACTCCCATACAGCAAATTTGGAGCAATCAATACGCTGTTGCATATTAAGATACAGAAAAGCAATGAAAAGGAGTCTGGCTGACACTTCGACCCGCGGCACACCAGGTACCATCCATTCTTTTGTGCTTTACTATTCACAGGTCACCATGCTTATGTATATATACACACCCCCACCCCCCGCAGCATCCATACAGGATATACAGTATTCAGGCCATGGTCCCCATTTCCTGAGTGGGCTTGCCTGGGTTATCTGTCTTGCTGCAGCAAAGGGCAAGATTTTGAACGGAGTCAGGGACTGGTCACTAAGGGAAATGTTTCATTCACGGGATTCTGTGCAGGACAGAGGGCTGGGCATATAAATTCTGTGAGGCAATGGCTGGTCTGTTATGTGTTTGTGAAATGTAATTCCCATGGGTGCTGTAAAATTATTTTATTTACATATTTTAAGTGTAGATTTTGTATCCTTTTGCTATGGTATAGTATTATTATTTGCATTTTCATTTTAGGTTTTCTGCCTGTACCTCTGTTCAATCAGAAAAAAAGAAACAGACAGCCCCTCACTTCAAATCCCCTTAAAAGTGAGCCAGGTACCAGTTCTGGGACTCATACTTACGACTTTTCTCCCACACCATTTGGTAAATAAGAATTTTTTTTTTTTTAATGGCTCTAAATTCAAATAAACCTTAACCTTATGACTGTATTTTATTAAATTAGACATTGTCTTTATCAAGAACTATATGCATCCTTTATGTTTGTTTCTGAAAAATTCATTATGTAAAAAAAATGTCCCCCAGGAAATTTCTTTCTCCTCTACACAATTGAGCTTTTTATACTTTGTGCCTAGAGGGAGGTTGACTCTTTGTGTGTTAGAGAATGAAGTAGCACCAGCATTTAAATAGACTCTCTTGAAACTCTGACCTTTTGTTTTCAGTTGATTTCAATCAACATTCAAGTCCTGTGTTACAAGAAGAAACATTTGTAAGATGTCTGTCTTGTAATACAGAAGAGAACTTTTGTTCTTCAAATTCTGCTTGGAAAGAATGATACAGAATTCTGCCTTTAGTACTGTATATTTTACTTATACTGTGGAAGAGTTTGCTTATAATGAAGTAAAAGTCTCTGTGCTAATAAGTCTGATGTCTGTAACTTAACCATTTTCTGGAGAAGCAACCTATAAGTTAGAAGTTGCCTTAGAATGACAGATATGACGGGATCACATTCTCTTTTTTTTTTTTTCCTTTTCCTTCCTGTATGAGACTATCTGTGGAACACTAAGCAGATAAAGTAGGAGCCCTAAGTGGGCCTGTTACCTTTCAATCTTTTCAGTTTGTATCCATATTTAATTCATTGTTTTTTGAGAATTAGGCTGGGGAACTGTAAACCCAGAAGTGGCTGAGCTACAGAAAGCAGCAAACAGTGGGTATGTAAAAGCAGATTATTTGTTGCTTAATGATTTTTATTTGGGTACTCATTGTTTCACAAACTATGATCCATGCTGTCTGTCTCACAATAAAGCTGCTGCTATGCCACTGGTACCTTAAGCTTATCTTTGAAAGCCAATCAGAACGTCAGGTGGCTCCTTCCCTTTTGAAACCGCTAAATGCAGCAAGTCTAATTTAGCAAGTGCTGGAAAAACCTTGTGTGCCTGCACATTGGTGAAGCCTTTAAATTTTACTAGCTTTCCTTAACCAAAATTATTCTCATGTGAAAATGTATCTTATATTATTCCATATTGTTGTTGCATTCATTTCATTCTGAGATCATCACTGTAGTCCTCAATATTTCCATTGTGCTTATGAGCCAAAACCCACTGAAATGAAGTGTCTTTCCGGTGTACCTAATGAGGCCTGCTGATTAGACCTAATGTCTGGCCTTCTTATCAGGCCTAAAATTCAGTCTCACCATAAAAGTTGCTTGAATTTTGCTGGTCTTAGATGTAATTTTTTGAGATTCCCCTTTGCTCGGAGTTTAGCCCACTTTCAAACAGATTTATCAATAGACTCCAATAAGCTTCTGTAAAGTGTACATGGGGGCAATTGTACAGAAAAACATTTAACCAAAACTGAACACAATTGTGAACCTGTGCTTTTGTAAACCAAGAAAAAGCTTCAGATTAAGACACCTAGAGTGGGCAGGAAAACTTCCAGCAGTGTTATAATTGTCTTTTTTCTGCCGTCCCTTCCTCCTGTTCCCTTCCAATGGCAAAAAGAGAGTGAATGTTTCAAACAGGTGCCTTCAAAGGCGAAATGGAGTGGAGGTGGAAGGAATTTCTGAGCCACCTTTCTAAAGAAATGTGTTAGAAAGAATAAGGTCAGCACTAGGGTCTGTTGTAAAATGATTTCTTCAGTGATGGTGGTAGAAGAATTTGGAAATATCACTCTCAGAAGAAACTGCTTATGTCATTTTAGACTTACAGAAAAAAATAAGAATCTTAGGTCAGGAAAGATCCCTTACACAGGGCGGGACAATAATTGAGGAAGTTTTTAAGGCCTATTGTACTCAGCTGGATTGAAGCACAGGTGTGACTGCTGCCCTGTATACGGATAAATTTAGGTGTCTGCTCAAGTGCTTTGAGTCTGAATATTTAACAGATGTTTTTAAAGCTAAACCAACAATACACAGATTGTTCTTATGTACTTTAGTTACATATCTGAGTATCCGCAACAGGCATTGTGATACTGAACTATGTCTAATGTTGTACTGCAGGGCAGAAGAGAAGGCTCCCAGTACTAAAGTTTGGAACAGAAATGAGTATGCTCCTTCAAGTGACACAACAGATTCAAGATCTAATAGTGGAATTCTTCGGAAGTTTGACAGCCTTTCAACTAGTTTGAAAACTGTTCAGCAGCAAAAAACCCCAGATAACTGGAATTCATCTCAGCTTATCAAAACAACAGAAACCAGCCAAACGTATACATCTAAAGGACAATGGCCAGTGAGACCTAACACTGTTTCAAGAAGTCTGCAGGATCACAGTCTGGCGTATAAGTTTAACCACAATATTCAGCAAAATAAAATGAATGAAAAACAATTGGATTGTGCTCCAAAAGACAAAAGTCAGGTAAACTTATAGAGAGAGTTAATAGGAAGATACAATGAAGAAAACAGCGAGGGAAAAGAAAATTGAGGACAGATGAGGCTTTCATCAGTCCTAGCTGCCTTAGTAAACCCTTAAGTTTCTGAAAATTTAGAATTGAGATTTTCATGCTGTAGTAACCTACAATCTTTAGCATGATCATACAAATTGGCAGGGCATTGTTTGTGTAGTCTGAACAAATACTCTAATTTTAATGTAAATATTGGGCATTTGACGTTGTTTATAAATGTCTACGTGCCTTTTAAAATTGTGTATCTACCTCTAACCTGAGTTTTCATCCTCCTCTGAAAGGAAGTTTCATCATCTCAATTAAAAATTAAAGAAAAAAAGAACTCTCTGCGAATTCTATCTGCAGTCATTGAAAGTATGAGGCACTGGAGTCAATATGCTTATAAAACTGCACTATTATTTGAAGTTTTAGGTAAGCATGGAAGATTGTGCTGTAACTGATAAAAATGGTAGGACAACAGCCAAGAGAAAATGTTATTAACTGTAGGGACAATAGCTGAAATACGTAAAACCACAGAATACTGGCATGAGCACCATCTAATTTTCCTGCTGGGAGACCGTTTCAGCTATAAAAGGTGACTAAAATAGGTACAAAATTAATAATACACTCAATCCTCCAACATTTAAGCTCTTTCCATCCTGTTTCTTTTCCTGTTTCTTCCATTGTTTTTAGAATGTGTTACAATAAATTTTCCTATTAAAAATGAGCCTTCTGTAGAGAGGTACAGTTTTACAGTAATTTTTAATACAATTAATCTGGGAATAAATTCAAGTCTGGAGTACTTCTAAATAAAGATGACTTAGCATGTTTTACTTTGCTTTTTAATTGACATTACCTGAGAAATTAACATGACAAAAGGCTGAAATGACTTAACTTTAAATCAAGGTGGATAAGAACATACAATGTAATGGCAGCTCAGCAAGCTATTATTTTGACAAGGTTGCAGATATTTAAAGTTGATTTGCATATAAAGATCAATAAAAGACAATCATGTGCTCTGCTTAACGAGGGAATAACCTGTTTACAGTGACAGTTAGGAAAAACACGTTTGTTCCCTCCATTTAGAGACATCACATACAATTTTACTATTCAAAGACTATGTAAAGCCCATCATTGGAAGCCCAGCGTTGGAACTTCCAGAGCTGTCAGCACAAGTTCTCACAGAAACCTGATGCTGACCTGATATATCTTAGTGCTTTTGTGTAGTAGATGTTGTCATGGTATCGTTGTATATCGTACTTGATACTGCTCTGATGTTTACATCGTGATTTCTTTTTGCTGTATGGTTTAGGCATACTTGATTCTGCAGTCACACCTGGAGCATATGGGGCAAAGAATTTTCTTCTGAGAGATGGAAAGGAGAGTCTGCCTTGTGTATTTTACGAAACTGTAAGTATTCTGTATCCGTACATCACACAGACACCACTAGCTATAAACCCTTTTGTGAAGCTAATAGTATGTCGTTCTGGTAAAAGAGAAACTTAGTGTGTAAAAGGAAAGCTGGATGCTTATACCGTACTGTTCCCAAACTGGGCTAGAGCAGTAATCCAGCCACGATTTAGACATCCTCAGATTTCTGCCTCAGCAAAAAAGGTGGGACTTTCAGTTCAGCTTCTAAGTAGTTGATAGCAGCAAAAAAGGTGATGTGAATTCCTTCTGTGTTTGATGTAGTCTTCAGAAACCAGTCATTTTGAAAGCTTTTATGTTAGCTGGTGATATTTTAAAAAAATTTTTATCGTGCTTTTGATGAAGGACCGGGAGCTTCCAAGACTCATTAGAGGTCGAGTGCACAGGTGCATGGGAAACTATGACGCAAAAAGGAACATTTTCAAGTGCGTCTCTGTGAGACCAGCAACTACTCAAGAACAAAACACTTTCCAAGAATTTGTTAAAATTGCAGATGTTGAGATGACAGCATATGTAAAAACAATGAATGAACTTTAAAACGGCTGAAATGGTTGTCCGAAACTGATTTTCACTCATCATTACCCGTAAAGCCTGGGCACCCTAAAGCATTCACCAAAATGAATACTGAAAATCAGATTAAATAATGGAACATACCACTATGCTGTGTTGTCCAACAAGTGTTAGCAACAATGTTTTGTTTCCATTACTGCTTTTCAGAGCTTATCTTTCCTAGTTATATATGCAATAACAGGGCTTTGTTATGCAGTGGATTAGATTTTACTGGAGAAATTCTGAATTAAAATGTTCAAGTTTTGCAGTAGTGCATGTGTCCTGGAAAAAGATTATCAATATAATTCAGGTTGCCATTGCTTTTCATTATCTTCAATTTCTAGAAATTCCTTCAATATCGGTTTCAGAATGTTGACTATATAATTCTTTTGAGGAGTATTTGGTCAAAGTTCAATAGTGAACAAATGTCAACAAAGCTCTGTTTGGCTCTGCATACTGCACTAAAACTGCTCTTTGATAGAAAGTAAGGTGGCAGTCTTTGTTCTACTCCATTCCAACTAACAGGCTCCCTTTCCTGTGCCGGACTACAAGAACACGTGTAAAAGCTCTTCTAGAAGTGAACATAACAGGTAGTACAGAAAGATTTCACAGGGTGCAGCTGTGTATATTAGGTGTTCATATGGTTCCCATTGATATGTTATCTGATTCATGGTTTCGTAAAAATAAATAGTCAGTATAACACCTGTATAAAATAGTGCCAGACCCTGAAGCTGTAGGAAGATTGCTCAAGGACGCAGAGGAAGTTCGAGAGAAACAATTATTTGAACACAGAACTTCCTTGCCTTTGCCACAGAAACATCTTTCATGAGGGATGGACCATGTACATGTTTGTGTGTCTTTGCCTCAAACATTAACTTCCATAGATTATTCCTGCTTTTTTGTTTCTATTTCCTTTTCCCCTTAGCTAGTTCCCCTACTTCAAAAGCTTTGTACCAGGTCCATTGGGAATTGTAAAACAAAAGAGTTTTCAAGAAAATGGTGAACAGTGGGATTTTTTTTTTTTTAATTTTATTATACAGTGTTGGCAATTGGAAATTTCACATTTAAAATAATTGAAATATTGTATCCAACAAGTCAAATACAGAAAACAGTTAATATTCTAAAAAGGAGCCAGCTAGTCAACGCAGAAACACATTAATGGAAAATACAGCTTTTAGTTACACTTAAAAAATTATATATTTAGAATAAAACTTGAACCTGGTCCAGTAAATTGTTTGACTTGTAACAGGAAAACGCTTTTACACAGTTTAACGCGCAGACAGGCTTTCTTTAAAAAAGTGATCTGTCAGTGTTAGCGTGTGTGTTGTCAGCAACACAAGGATCTGGAGTACACGCTTCATTAGCTGTTGTAAGAATCCCTTGCATTATCATCTCTGCCTTCTGGGCTGAGCTGGTTCTGAGCATGGATGTTTCAAGGAGAGTTCTGTCTATCCAGTTGTAGAGGTCATATACATAGATTTGATTTCCTTTATATACTATGAAATAGTAAAGACAGTTCCAAGTGGAAGCATTAGCTTAACTCATCAAAGATGCAGAGTATTAGAGGGTGTAGAGCTTGATGGTGTTCACAACAGAAGAAGCCGAGTTTTAAGAAGTACAGGATTTGGTACAGCAGGGTTGGAAATTGTAAGACTCCGCTGTAACAGTAATTTAAAACTACAAAGGAAGCTTGAACTACGGGACCAGACCTGCAAGCGCCTGTGCCTGTGATCAGCACCACACAAGTGGCGTAGTCCTACTGGTGTCAGTTGAATGATTGATGGTTCCAGTTCAGCACATGTGAAAGGAACGTTACTAAGTAATGACAGGAATAGGTCATGTGCATCTACTAGATATGTCATGGCTGTTAATAAAAATCTAAAATAATTTTACTTTCAGTAAGTGTTTAGATCTTTGCAAAAAAAGTTTTCTACTTTACACTAACAAATCACTTTTTCTAGTGAAACATTAAGTGAACAGTTGTAAACATTACACAAAACAGAAAAAACCCTACATAATACAGTTTATACACGTTACTCAACATTTTTCAGTTGTTGCTTGGTTTGTTTTTGTTTTGTTTTTTTTTACCGTATCGATCCTGTCTTCTATAATGGTTCTAGTGTAAAGGCACAGGTTGGTTCGGAAAGAAAAGCCTGCATCTCTGTCTTTCTGCTTCGCGGTGATGATTTTCTTTGTACGCGTTGTTTGTTATTCCTCACTTTTCTGACTCTCATATGAAATTTATCAATTTCAGCCATTTATTAAAAAAAGTGTAAGACATTACTGAAAAGTACATTACTATACAGAAGTGACTGAAATTTATTATTCTTATTTTAGAGGCATTCCTTCAACCTATTTTATTAGATATTTGAAAGATTTAATTCCTTAGTCACTGTGAGCAAAAATGCATAGCACATGCTCTCTCTCTCTCAGTGTACTTAATTCTACATTGAAATCTGTATTTTCAAAGATTAGTACTGGAACTTGCTAAGTTTATGTGTGGAATTTGCTTTTAGAGTGCATGAAAATGTAACAACAGACAATTATTTTGGAAAACAATGCAATGCTCCATTGAAGTTTAGAAGGGTGAGGAATGTAAACAAGACTGCAGCAGTCTTTGACATTTATTAAAATAGCACAGTGATTGTTCTGAATGTTTGCATTTTCTTATACATCCTCAACATGTCTCTGTCCCTTCATGTACACTTTCCATTGAAAAAAAATTAAAATTCAGGAATCAGTTGGACTCAGCTAAGTGAAGAATAATAAATTTGATCACTTGGTTTGTGCCAAAATACAAAACTAAGAAGTACAACTCTGAATTAAATATAATCTATGTGATTATTTCTTTTTAATAAATAATAGAAAATAAAAGATGAGAATAGAATTAGAATTCAGGTTTTATTTTAAATGAAAAACATAATGATGGGGTGAGATTAGAACCCAATATTTCTTTTGCTTAAGGCAATCAAGTGCTTATTTCAATGCTTGATATAATGAATTCAGTGCTATTGTGGAAATCAGACTTCATAAATTTCACATACAAACCCATGAAATATGGCCTTTTGCTAGTTCTGACACGGCATCAGATTCTTATTAGTCGTGATCAGTAGCATTTCACTTTTTAATTTTTCTTTTTTTACAATAAGGGCCTTTTAGTAGTAATGGAGATATTAGAATCGAGATCATTCTGGGTTGTATTATCTCTACATACAAGGGCCATTGGGCACATACACTTTTGTAAACAGAGAGTTTTCTTTTCGGCCTTAAAAAACAAACAACAAAACCCAAAATCTACAGTTGTAATAGTTCAAATAGTTTTGTAAAAGTCCACTTAAAATTATAATTAAAGAAATACTGAAAACAAATTCCTAGCGTTTTTTCCCATTGTTAAGCTATTAAATCATCATGAAGCCTTTGGAACAAGTTAGATCTCGCTGTCTCTGAAAAAAGTAACCTAAATTTTATGCAGGTCTTCACAAAGGTGACTCTAAATCTTAAAGATTAGGTCAGTATTAAAAAGTGTGCCGAAAATTTAAAATATGCAGGTACTACTAATACATATAGATTAAAAAGAAACTTTTTTCTTGTATACAATTCTTTTTAGATATCAAGCTTTATTTTAGGCTGTGGCTACTAGTAGGTGCTTTTTCACTGATCAAAATAATTGTAACAAAGTATCATTATTGATTTTAAAATCATTGGGTTCATAAAAGTTTTGACATATAATAATATATAAAAAGTGAATTGAAGCTTTTAAGAGACTTACGATTTTGAGACACAAAAGAAACCGGGAGGTAGACAGATGTTTTGAGGATAAACAGATAGTTTTTGTCTAAGGCATTATGCCACTATGTGTTTAGAGCAGTGTAAAGGCTGCTGATTAATCTTACTTCAATTCCAGAGTGTTCGCTGCTCATTCTTACGGAAGACTATCAATGCACTTTTGGTCTTTGTGAATCTGACCTTCTCTTCCCCCATCTCCTCTTTTCTCTCTTTAGCAATACAGCTAAATGGAAGTGCTATAATAATTTCTGCCCATTGCCTGTAGACAGGAATGTTCTGTTCTTAAGCAGTATTAAAATACTATAAAATAGTAGGTATTGGAGTTGGAGATATGTGCTCTTTTGGTGCATATTTTGCAAAGAATGGTAAAAAGACAGACAGCATGACCCCAACAATTGCCAGCATGTACCCCCAGCCAATCTGGCAGTCTCCTGCATAGTAGATGTCTGAATTCTCACAGAATCTCTTCACAGTAGCAGAGTTGAAACCGAAAGGGTAAACCAAAAGCCCAGAAGCCATTATGAACACTAGAGAGGAGAGAAAAACCACAATTATTATCGAACACTTCATCCCTTTGAAAAAAAATTCCTTCTTTTAGAAAGGCAAACATATGTTATATTAAAATCAATGGAGAAAGTCACAGCTTAAAATTTATGATTGTCAGATTATCTTCATTTGCATAATTACCTCTTATGGACAGCAGTGTCATAACATGGTAGCCAGTTGGCCTTGGGATTTTTTTCATGAGAACTGGTGCCCATTATATCACTTCAGAAACGTTGTAATCCAAATCATGTAGCCATTTAAAAAGTGATTCAGATACAATGGAATCCAGAGGAGGAGGATTCCTAAGTTTGCAGATTCCAAACCAGCTTGATTTTCTTCTCAATAGCATTTTTGTACTTGAGACAAACAATTACTTTGTTCTGTCAAATAAAAACTTTTGAAGAGTTTTTCAGATTCTGCAGATTAGGTTCTGATAATGTAAACGCTTTCTCATTATTCTCATTATTACAAACACAAATTGTTTAAAAAATCCCGCACTTGACCCGAAGATTGTGAGATGAAAACAAATACAATCTGTTGTCCTCTTATTCAGCTTCTAGCATTGGAATATCTCGGTATATTTTTTTGATTTCTGTCTGTAAACTTAAGGATTAGAAAAATTTTCGACCTAAGGTTGAGACCTAAATTATTAAGAC